TTTTAATTGTATTTTTAAAATGAAACTGTGTATTTTTTCACAGTTCCAGAATAGTCATATTGCATTTCAAGAAAAATCTCACATCATTCCCATCTTAAACATTTCCCACCTCTCAGTTTTGCACTACATTTTCTGAGTAGTTTTTTTCCTTTTAAATATATTAAGTGAATATATTTTGCCTTTTTTAATATCCTAGATATATAAATGGATGCTTGTACATGCATCATTACCTACAATGCTCAAGTATGCAAGTTTCCATGAAACTGCTTTGTATTAATAGCAGTAGACAAATACAGGACTAGAAAATAATGGAATTATCTATATGGGTAAGTGTATTTATGGACTTGAGTCACTTATTCAGAATTCATGAGAGATGCAGAAAGGAAAGAAGTCTTATTCCAGAGAGACTAGAAAAAAATGGAGACTATAAACCCAAACCAAAATTACCACAGAACTGCGAGAAAAAGTAAAATTTACTTCTCTGCCACTAAAAGACCATTAAAAATACCTAGATTAAGGAATACTAGGAATAAAGAAAGGCACCACACATCACCAAAGAGCTAGCTGAAAACGTAATGAAAATTGAGGAAGAAGCAGGACTTACAGCAGTGCACAGGAGCAATCTTCAGGTCACACTGGGGAAAAAAATACCTGATTTTCTTTTTCAGAAGCACCAGATCTGCTATCATGCTTCAGAGAACAGCTCAGATGCAGCCACACCTGACCATCAGTCAGAAAAGGCTGCTTAATCACAGTTGTCAGAGAAAAGACAGACACAGTGGGAATGAGGAGAGGCTGCTAGTAAAACAGGTCAGGAGATGGGATAAGAGAGTCATATCTATTTAAAGATCTGATTCTACAATAACTATTATTAATAATTTCCCTCTTTACAGTAGCAACTGCAGATCTAACAGGCAAAGAATATAAGGGGGGCAATGCTTTTTGTAGGGAAAGGCAAGGTCTTTTATTAAAACAGCTGGGGGGAAAAAAGGAAATAAAGTAGACAGAAAACATTTTGGATTTAGAGTCCTTCTAGTTTTACCCATCAAACACTGAGAAAGACCATTCATCACCCTGTAATGGCCTGCATGTAGAATGCAGACTCTAGACTCTCTATGTGATCTGTTGTGGTGTTGGGAAAATACCTCAGAAAGAGAAATACTGAGGACCAAACTAGTATTCTTCCCACCTGTTCCTCCATCTTAGCTAATCTCAGTGGGAGCTGAAAGCATTTTGCTTGATGTGAAGCAAAAAAAATAGATAGATATTTTACATGACAGCCACAATTAATAGAAAGAAATTAATGAGTTCCCTTTTAGTGAAAGAAGTTCAGCATGGAAATAAAAATGAAATTACATTAAATGGATTCTAGGAGAATAAAGAGAGAAAGAAGCTAAGCACACAGCACTAGAGTTTAGAGAAGTAAGAGTCACTGCTGTGCATTGGAAAGAAGGGACAAAGACGAGCTGAGATTCACAGTGCCAGTCTATCCAGCCTCTGTTGTGCAGGACTGGCGTCACAGTTGGAAGCCAAGCTGAAAAACTGCTCTCGCTTTCTTAAGATAGCATTTCCATTTTGTGCCTCAATGGAAGCACTTTTCCCAACTCCTACTCTTCTCTGTGCTAATATGTACCTGCTGGAACACTAAGTCCTGTTATTTATCATTAACCATACATAAACCATTGGCTTCATGGGTCAGCCCACTATGTTATTTGTACCATCAAATGCAGGACTTTTATTTATACTTCATGGTCTGCTTGGCTTTGTACCATGTGCCACAATAGTAAAAGATCCATAGCTTTCTCTCTTTTCACCCTGGGGGCTCTGAGTGACATCTGCCACCACGAGAGCCTGGAAATCTACCGCAGCAATGAGAACTCCCTCATGCTAGAATGGGAACAACAGGTCCCTTTCACCTTGCTGCAAAAATCGCAGCGCTATAAACAACACTGTACGTTTCTCAGCGCTCAATCAGAAGAAAGTGTCGGGGCTGGGAGGACGCCCACCGAGAGTCAGGCCCTGCACTGGGCCCCCGAAGGGGCTCTCTGAGGACGCGGTCCCACCCAGCACTGCAGCATTTCTAGCAGAGAGGAGGCGCGCAGGACCCCGGGACGGGGTCGGGGCCGCGCTCGCCGCTCCCCGCACGCCGGGGACACCGGGAGCCACGGGCCCGCCGGGCTCCATCCCGCCCGCCCGCCCGGTCGCGCCGGCAGCGGCGGCCGCTGCCCCGCCCGCAGCCCCGGCGGCACCGCGCTCAGCACCACGGACAGCGGCGGGGCCGCCGCCGCCCCCCGCCCCCGCACCTTTCCGGATGAGCTCCTCGCTGTCCGGCTCGTAGCCCGCGCGGTGGCAGCGCCTCCAGAGCCCCGAGACGGTGGAGTTGAAGCGGCGGCCGCAGTGCGAGTCCAGCGCGGCGGAGGCGGCGGCGGCGGCCGGGGCGGGGGCCGGGGGGCGGCCGGGCAGGAGCGCCCGCGGGGGCCGGGCGCGGAGCGGCAGGTGCGAGCTGGGCGCCGACATGGAGCCGGGCGGGTCGCTGCGCTTGTGGCCGAAGCCGCGACAGCGCTCGCGGTGCCGCCGCGCGTCTGTCTCGTACCAGGAGTCGGTGCCGATGGCCACGGCCAGGAGGGCGAGGGCGGCGGCGGCCAGGAGCAGCCCGGTGCCGCTCAGCGCCTGAGCCGCGGCCGCCATCTTAGCGCGCCGGGGGCGGCAGGGGCGGGCGCTTCCCTGCAGCCCGGCTGGGGCCGCCGCCCGCGGCACCGCCCCCGGAAGGGACGCGGCCCCCGCGCCGGCCCGGCCCGTACCCCGGCGTGCCCCGGGCGCGGCCCCACGGCGGTCCCGGAGCCGCCCCCGCCGCGGGGTCCGCCTCCTGCTCCGCGGACCGACGAGCCCTCGGCGGAGCCCGTGGCCAAGGCGGTGCGAGGTGGCCGCGGGAGCTGCCGGGGCTGGGTGACCGGAGGAAGGGGTGAACGGACTCTGCGAGCCTTAACGCGGCCTCCTCGGGCCCGGCAGTCGCCCGTCCCGCTGGCTTGCCCAGGGCAGGAGGGCTCTGCGCAGGCCACGGGAGCCAGCCGTTTTTCAAATGTACATGAAATGCAAACACCAGCTGCAACATCATTTGCTGGCTTTTGGATTTTGACTTCTCCTCTACCCTTCATTTTAAGTTAATGGAAAATAAGGCCTGAAAAATGTCCACCTATTTTATGCAATGAGAAGCAGATTAAATCCAAGCCATTAGTTAAATGCAGCATTTATAGGGGCACAAAATCCCTTCTGATCCTGCTTGTTGTGTAGGACTTGTTCCTCCAGCTGCAGCACTATCAGTCAGTCCCCAAAGCCAGCTGTTAGGGCATCATCTCACCAATTCTGGCCCCCATATAAAATGATCTAGTGATAATGCTATGCCTAAACTACTAATTTAATGTCCAATCCTTAGGTTTGGGTTTTTCTTTGTTTAGAAGTTCCCAGGAGCAAATGCTCAACTGTAGGAGATTCTGAAACTTTCCCCCCGCCACCACCTCCCCCTTGTCACTTCTTGGTCTCTCGGCCACACTGAGCACAGCCTAAAAACCCTCCCCAGCACTTCACCCAGCTACACTGCCCAGAACAGAGTACTGTTTATCTCCCCTGAGCACTCTGCCTGGTGAAACATGCAGCAGCCACAGCTAAAGCTTGTTCTAACCACATTTCTGCATGATCCTCTTCCGCAGTTTGCACTGGACAGATGGGATTACCATCCATGCAGCTGCACACTGGTGCCTTCAAGGCACACAAATTGAAAGGGCTGCTGTCAAAAGAATTTTCTTAAACATACCAGCTAAATTAAGTCTTCCACAGCAAGAATGAAAAATAATTTTCAAATACAATCACTGCTCTAGCTAACATGGAAAAATCCTTCAAGTGTAATAGCTCTTTCCCAGAAGATCCAAATACTCACATTTCCTAAGTCTGCAATCCTATTATGTCACCCTACTCTCCATGTGAGCTTTTCAGGCTACAGTTTCAAAAGACAGGGGCTTCAGTAACACTATATCATCTTAGAAAGTTCCCATGAATTAAAGTCTTAATTGTTCTCCTTTCTCTGCTACTACAGTTGTGTCAGAGCCATTCTTCCCAGAGCCTGTGAAACAGAGAGCTGATTAATTCATGATAATTTTGATTACTTTTGAGAAGGAAAAAGGCATGAGGGAGAAAGGCTCATAGCATAGTTCTAAGGGCAGGAGTATCAGCACCGCCCAAGAGTGCAGTGTAGTAAATCCATGAACAGAGATTCCAAAATGTAGATTACTGGCAAAATCCACAGACTGAGATAATGCCCTAGATCACTTACCTACTTTCATCTTCTTCTAGTTCTTGGGTTATGGTTTTCTTTCTTTTTACAGAAGACTTGGGGTAAGAAGAGATATAAATGAATCATTTATAGCTAAAAATCTTCCAGATGAAGGGTAGGATAAGACATTTTCTGAACCCATGGTTTTGAAGGGTAGAGAATTTTCTTCTAGTCCTTTCAGGCAATTGGAACACACAACTTTTCATGATGGCACCTTTGTCATACGGATATGACATGGCAGGTATCCAGCTTAGTATGAATTAAAACCAGACAGGCCTTGAGGCTTTTTGATTTTAAAAAATAACCGATTACAGTCACGTATGATTACAAAACTCTCTGAACAGTAAAGTTACCATGCAAACTCTCCCCTGAAAGAGGAGAAATTTATCTGGGTACCCAGAACAACAGTCAAGAATTATAATTCTTACCACACTGCTCCTGGACAAAAGTTCCATGGCAGCAGAACGATGAAACTGGAATAGAACTTTTTCTTTCAACTGTGAAAGTCTGGGTAAAGTCTAAAAGCAACCCAGAGTCCAAACTGCTCTAGACTAACCCAGAGATATGTCTGTGTAATTCAAATGAAATTTAAATTGAATTTTTAAATCAAAGGAAAGTAGGAACTTCAAAAACAGCCTAAACCAACCAAATAAAATAACCCAACAACACAACCTGACATGAAAAACCATTTATTTCATCTCTATTGTCTCCATGCAGAGCAGACCAATACAGATGAAGGGAGAAAATGCATAAGAGCAGCTGAAAAAATAGAGCTAGAAAATACAATTCGCTCTGCATTTCCAAAAGTGACAAAAGTGGTGGAGTGATGCTCCATCTCCTCCCAAGGCTCTCAATCCTCAGCCCTAGGGCTGACGCAGTAGAAATCTATTGAACCCCTCCCTCCCACCAGCCCCATTCTACCTCCTACCAGGGTATCTTCCCAAGAACCACAGACTATCCATGCCTGTGATAGCAGCCAAGAAAAACAGCTCAGAAATTCTTTGTTCAGTGTCATCCACTTCACATTCCTGAACGCTGAGTATAAAATCCTGACGGTGGTTTTCAGTCTTGGCAAGGCTCAGTGCTGATGCAACAACGCCAACTCATGGGCACTCACCTGGCAATGCCTCAACTTAAATGCCAGCCTTATTTTGGGAAAGACATCTTGAGAAACAGCAGGCACAACTTTCTGTGCAAGCTTGCTGCCTCCAGAGCTCTGTTATAGGGCCTGCTTAGCTGCAGTCCCTGGGCAGAAGGAACCCCCAAAGCTAGAACCAGGGGGTTGGCATACTCCCCCAGTCCCTGCAGGCTAACTGGATTAATCATCCTTCCAGGAAAACAGGAAATGGATGCTACCTTCAGACATCAGACAATTGAATGATGGAGAGAGTAGTTGGCACAGAAAGGCAACTTTGTAAAGAGGAATAAACAATTGCACTAAGCCTTCCTCCTCATTGCAGTGAAACTAGTTACTGATGGAAGTCCAGGGAAAGAAAAGCTGAAAAAATTTCAGACAGCAGTTCCTGGGCAGACAGAACTGCAAGCATGAGCTCTCCAGCACTCAGTGAAAAGTAGGGCAGGAGCTGTCATAAAAAAGAACTGTGTCAACAGTTCAGGAATCTCTTACGGAAATAATGCCTCTGCTGTGGGCAGTATACCTGCCTTGCTACTCTGTCCCAAATTGCCCTCTCAAGGCACAAGTCCTCTTGGTAAGGCCCTGGGCAGACTGGAGAGCTGTACTGCTTCACAAAAGCTGTTTTAAGACTGAGCCAAGTTGGTGTAAATCACACTGTGGCACCTGTTTTGTGTTCAGTGACTCTCTTAGTTCAATTAGACCTGTTTTTAAACAAATTTAATCAAATCAAAGTTAAGTTCTGCAGAAGGGATGATCTAGTAATTGTGCACATCTCCATGGCAATAAAATATCCCTGTGGAATTATGGCCTGGTCAGCACTGTGAGCTGGGATGGAGAAAAGCACTAGAAATTTTATTTCTTTTTATTGGTCTCAAATTGTGAAAGGTTTTATCCCAGGCATCACATAACAGAAAATTCCTCTTAAAGCATACATATTGTCACCCTTTCATATCCCTTTCTCACCTTCCTTAAAAATATTTTCACCAGCAGTTTCAACCTTCCCATCCAAAAGCTGTCAGAATTATTTCTTATTCATTCGTCCTCAACAGATGAACTCCACTGTGAGGTAACAACCCCAGAAATAGGCTGCTATCTACAGCATGCTCTTAAACCATCTACACTGAACAGAGGAAAAGCTACCCAGGAGTTATCAGTTGCTGACCAGGCTCTAGTGTTCAAGCACCTCTGCTATGACAATCTAGGAGTGCTGTAGCATGCTGGGCAGGTCTAACATGCTACACCTCAAGAAAGCTCTGAAACACGGTGTGGGGCAGATGGTGCGTGAATCAGGTCTCACGAGCAGGCTTAGAGGCATGTTCAGCTAATGTTTATGAGAGGGAGCTCAGTCACAACAGCTACATGGCTTTCCCTCCAGACATGAGCGAGCTGGTAGTTGGCAATTGAAGAAACATTTACTGATCATTTATCAGATAAACAGTTGGGCTGTGCTGGCTACTGGAGTGGTTAGGGCTGAGGCAAGTAATCTCCAAGCTGAGTCATTTAATTGTAGTGACCTAGCCTAAAATGCCTCAAGCTTTTGGCTTAATTTCAATGTAAACGAAACAGACCAAAAGAGCTGGACTGCTGAGGCCAATACTATCTTTAGGAACCAGTGGTGTCAATGAACAGCTGGAGATCAAGTTGGAAAGGGTCTCTTCCCCTCTATCTCATAGCACCATCAACCTCTCATGGGTAGGGGGTTCTGGTTAAAGCTTTGTCATGCCTGTTCTGACTCCAGCCCTTAAATCTTTTATGTTCATCAGCTACAGGAATCACCTCTGTGTTCACGCAAGCTCTTGAGAGGTGCAGTTCCAACAGAATGAACCGAATGAAACATCATTCACTCACAGTGGGGCAGCTGTTCAGTTTGTTTCTGCCCAATGTATCTTTTGCTCCGTAAAAACCAACTAAGCAAAAAAAGAACAGAAGCCCTCATGTGTGGATTTTAGCAGAACAGGGATAAGAGAGCCAGGGAATGAAGTCTTGCACAACCAGACCTCTCTGTCACCCGCTTCTCATACTAGCAGCCAGACCTGCGCACACACGTGGGAAGTAACATTAGTGTTCCTTATTGCTTTGTAAAGCTCAGAGTCACTGTGGTGGCTCTGGGAGGCATCATGAGGTCTGCGCAGAGGTCACTCAGTTGTGAGCGCGAGTAGCACCATGACTGTAATGCCCGTACACAGGAGCAGAATTTGCTGCAGGGAATTCCTGGGAAAGAAACAGCAAAATTAGGAGCCATAAACCAATCCCCATAAGGCAGCTGCACAGAGCTCTCCAATGATTTGTTCTTTTCCCTTCCAAATTTACCACGTGGAGAACACAATAGCTATATGAAGTCACTAACACAGATGAGAAGACCTTCCCAGCACCCCAAGCAAAGGAGTTGTCTATAAACTGGCATGGACTTATTTCACTCAGCTGCAAGGCCCAACTCCAGGCTTCCAAATCAATTCAAGCTGATTCAGTCATGCAGCTATTCAGATACATATTCATGCCCTTTCACTCACGAGGAAACCAGCCTTTATGCAGCATGTGCACACACACTTTAGGGACCACATCCAGCTAACAACTACAGTTACAGAAAAAAAAAACCCCAAATTTGGCTATTCTTTTAGCACTGTCTCAGGTTTATATTGGATTTAAGTGACTGTGTGCCTCCCACTTCTGCATATTCTACCAACAATCTCTGCCAACACAAGAGGTTACCAACCCAAATTAACATTTCTCCACAAAAAGTTCCTACCTCCTCAGAAAGAACTGTGGAGTTGGTTTTTGAGCACTGTTTCAGTCAAAATTAACTAGGTGAACCAAGGCAGCTTATTTAAACTACTAAAGTTACTTGTCTTATTACAACTAAAATAAGAGGGAACATTCAGGAGCAGCTCTGCCAACAGATGTGAGAGGCCTTTGCTGTGGAACAGCTGGATTTGGACCTGCTACAGCCTTAATTAGACTGCAAGAAACCAAAATAATACACGAGAGAACCCCAGATATATTGGAATATATATACCAGTGCAGAAGAGACATGTCTGAGGTGGAATACAATGACAGACTATGAAATGCTGAGTGATAAAGAGAAAAAAACTATTATTTTTCTACTCACACAGCAACACAGTGATAGCTAATAAAAAAATCAGTACGCAAGAGTGTAAAAACCAAATCATAAGCATCACTTAATACAGTAAAGTCAAACTCTGCAAACTGCTACTAAAAGGAGGTTGCAGAGGTGAGAATTAATGGATAGGGTCAGAAAGGGATGAGAGAAGCATGGAAGGATAGATTCATATGTGGTTATCAGACATACACACCTCTGTGGGGCCCTGGTTCGGACAGCCCTACACCAGTATGTACTGGAAGCTGAAAACACAAACTGGGAAGTGGTGTCCTTACTGGACATGTTTCCCAGGAACTTGCTCTAGTTGGCCCTGATGCATACTGTGCCAGCACAATCTCTGGGACTCACCCAGGTGAAAGCTCTCATTTACAGAGGGTCTTTGTAGTCACACAAATGCAACAGATAGCAAGCAGTCTATTTTGATTGCAGCCTTGCCCATAAGATTTGGAAAGATGGCATTACACACTTCCAGAAGAGGCACAGGGAAGGGTTATACCCCTGCCCCCTGGCAGCACAAATTGCTGCAGAAGAACAGGAGGGAGCACTTACCAAGGATTCTTTTCCTCCAGGAGATCAGGCACAACATTTACCAAGGCAATGTATAGAAATCCTCCAGAAGTGAAAGGGAGGATCCAGGCTACTGTTTCTCCTGCACAAATACAGAAAGCTTCAGTTATTCCTGTTGTGGGACACAACACAGAAGGGAAAGAAGATACAGAAGGATGACAAGCAGTACCTCTTCCCCCATTTCTAACAAAGTCTTAGGGAACCTTACCTGCTCCTTTTGGTGACTGAGCACATATTGCAAAGCAGGCTCCTAGAATTCCCCCCAGAGCTGTGGAAAGCTGCATCTTGGCTGCGCTCCAGCGGTCAAAGCCAGCCCGAAGTAGGATTGCAAAGTCTCCAACCTAAGAAAACCAAGAGCTGACAGTTAATGAACTTGAATACTAATTTCTCACTTACAAAGGTCATTCACAACAAGGCCAGTGCTTCAAGACTGTTCCTGGTTTTCAATGTTGTCAGTCTCCCCAAAGGGAGCAGCCTTCAAGAAGACAAGAAGATGTTAACCAGACCCAGACTTCCTCTTAGTAAATGAAGCACATTGTAATCTCCCTCACAATGGCAGGATACAAAGCCCTCTCACCTCGTGTGGGATTTCATGCAGGAGAATGGCCACTGTGGTTAGGAACCCAACCTGCAGCAGAGAGAAAGTGATTAGAAAACAACCCCACTATTCTTGGCTGAGTCTCATCAGGTCCCATACATTTACAGGGATCCAGCTGGAGCAGCAGATACCACATCAGTGCAGGGTTGACTGGGAGTTTATCATTCTCACAGTCATGGTGCTCCAGCTCAGGGCAATGGGGACCCCACAACTCATCATCAGTGTTGAAGACCAAAGCAAAAATATCATAAATATCTCTGCTTTGTCTATGTCCCAGTTACTGAGGTGACCATTGTCATCATGCTATTTCTGGACTGTCTTTTGAGTAGATGAGGGTAGATGAGCTAATCCATCCCCTAATGCCAGTACAAATGACTAATGTGTCCCAAATTCAAAGAAGCTCTGCATCAGAGGATCAGCATAGGGTTAGGTTTTAAAGTAGCCTGCGTTTTCTCAGAAAATTCCAGCAAACAGGAAGGAATTCCTTGCATTTTTTGGCTGTTTTGCATATTGTATCATACTTGAGACAAGGCCTTTCCATTTCAGTACACAGCTGGGGACAGAACCTTACCTTTTTGCTAACCAGGAAGCTGGCTGCTACTGCCAGGCCGTGTGTGAAGTTATCAATGGTGTTGGCCAGCAGATTGAGGTATCCACTAATCTGCAAAGAGAAGGAAGAGTCCCTGATAAAGGAAGAGATGTAAGAAGATAAAAAAGCACACGGCTTAGACATGGGTTATGCAGTCATAAGCAGATGGGAAAGAAGATAGCACAATGCTTCTGATGAAAATCTTGAATTATGTCACTGCTTGAGCACAAATTAAATGTAATTTTTGGTTTTAGAGTAAACTAAGTTTTAGGGTAGGCAAGTATTGTCTGAGATTAAAATAATTACTATATGCAAATAATGAAGAGCTCTAGAAACAGAAAAAAATAATAAAGAAGAAAGCCAAAAAGCAAGAATATATTTAATTCTAAGTCAAATTTTAGGCAACACTGACTGATTTATACAGGTGACTGGCTTCAAGTATGACTTGATCTTGTTTTCAAGTCATGTACTTTAATATCAACTGTTAAATATCTCCTCTTCAAAAGCTGGCAAGAACAATGCAACAGAACAAATGTTGCTGGAATTGCTTTCTCTAACTAAATAAATCTTCAAACATTGTACCAAAAAAGTTCATGCTTGTGGGTTTGCTTTCCCTTAGCAAAAAATCAAAAGAGAAGATAGTGATGACAGTCACCAAAAAAACACCTACTAGAAGGCTGGATAGCATGTATCAGCATTTGCACATAAACACATTTTTAAAATTATAAGCATAAAGCAGCTGCCTTCCTCACAAGTCCATCTACAAGTTAAAATTCCCCATCATCCTAACTAAGGTCATCTCCTGACAAAATTTGAGTATTTGACCTGAAGTCGTTTACAAGGGTACCACCCAGCTCTTTAGCTCACAGGTTTTTGGGGGGTTTTCCATCATATTTAACAAAAACTGCTGCATGTTGGTCCTGAGATACTGCAGTTCACTATATGGCACTTCAGTTTAAATTTTTATCAAACCAGGTGTTAGCCCATATATCAGGCCATCTCTGAACTGCAAGAATTCCAGGTACAGGGCAGTACCCAGTGAGTGGAGACACTGTCTGGAAACTGTGAAATATTAACCTTTTATTTCACCAGAGCATCAGATGCTGAAGTTCAGCTGGACAACCACAAGTGCTGATGGACTTCATCAGCTCTTTTTGGTCTTGTGCTCTTCCCTGTTTCTATCAAGTCTGCTTGGGGCATCTTTCTGTCAGTTGTATGCCACAGCTGAGGAGCTGTCTGTCAAATCTCTCTCTCCAAAGCACCACCTTTCTGCAAGGCACTTTTACTGCACTATCTTGGGGCACCTTTGTAGCTTCTAAATTTTTTAAAGTTCACTGATGATTAAATACAGATTAAATACAAAAACTAAGAATTAAGCAAAGCCTACCCCACTTTTAAGTAATAAGCTAAGTAACACCTCCACAATGAAGGCAAAAAAGATCCCTGCATGTTTTTATAAGAAAGGAAACCCAAATAAATGCATGCAGGCAGACACAAAAATGCAAGTTTTACTTCTTACTCCTAGACAGTCAAATATGACGAAAATTCTCCTTTTCATGTTGTTTTTTTACATGATGGCATTTCCCCCACAGGATAATAATAATTATTCACAGAAGTTTTACACAAAAATGCTTTCCCATACCACCATATAGAGAAAAAATAGACTTCATGATTAAAACATTATGAGTTTTTGTTGTCAGTGGCTTGGGCAAAAGCTGTCACTGAAAGAAGCAAAGCTTTGGAGTGCTCAGAAATAAATTGGGTTGATTTGACAGTAATGAGCCTCTGACATTTACATTCTGCAAATCCCTAATAGGATGTTCTCGTTGCTCATAAAGAGCACAGCCAGATGAAGTGTTTACGTTCATGCTTCAGAATTAATGTCACTGTGTAATAAAACATACTTCCACAAATCTACCAGGACCCCATGTGCCACAGGGAGAAAGAAATAATAAGCAAGGCTAAAGTACTGAACACAATGTTTTTACCCATTGAGGGAATAAAGGCTGTAATGAGGGACAGAATTGATTTATGTTTGTATGCAAAGGAAACCTCCCATCTGCCATTTTTAAGCTAGGACAAATTCTAGCAGCAGCTAAAAAGGCAAAGTTCTAATATATATATGTGGTCAACAGTCAACTCACTACAACTTACTAATGATTAAGTCCTGAAAGGTGACTTTGTTTGCTGAAGAAACAGGGGTTTCTGAGTGAATAGGAGAACCAAAAAATCTGTCATGCTATGGATTTCACTCTTTCCTTCACAAGTACCTGCTCTGTTCACTCCCAGCAACACCAGTTCCCTGCACGTGCCCTGCTCAGCACACATTGGCTCTGTCCCAGCTGCAGCCAGGCACATCAGCCAGGCAGCATTTGGTACCCATTCTAGTTATGGCTTTCAACAGGACATCCCTTTGCCTTCCCCCTCTACTGTCATGCTGATTTTTATGGAACTTGCAGAAATCTGATCACCCTCAAGACTTATCCTCTCTTGAACTCAAGGAAAATTAATTATGGGTTCAAAAGTTATTGAAAATGAAGGGCAGAACAGATGGACAGACAGATGGAATGACTGCTTATGTTGTTGCCTAAGGAAACAGGCTAACAACACAGGAGCATCTTGGTAGGTTTGATAATTTCCAACCTACCAGGAAGACTATTAAAATATTCAGACTAAAAAATCAGAAGGTAAAAAGTTAAAACTACACCCATTAAGCCTTAAGTTTCTAATTCAGGCATATCAACAACCGTCTGTAAAATTGAACAGATGTGTTAGGATTTAAAAGCTAAGGGCTCTCCATGGTTGCCTTCACCTTACACGTAACACAACTGAAAGAACTTAATTTAGTTTATGCACAGATTTCATTGTTTCTTAAGCTATCATGTACTCTGTAGAGAGCAGCTTAAACCACAGCTTACAGCTCGCAAGTGACAAAAAAATCTGCTATCTATCTGCTATTTCTAAGGCAAGTCGGTCCATTGGCAAGTTACCCTCAGTTAGAGAGTTGTCTCTAAGTTCTAGTCTACTACTGTTTGCTATAGCTGCAACTATTCAAATTTAGTCATTCCTCTAGCATGGGTATTTGTATACTCTGTTACCCTTGATCTGCAATGACTCCAGAGTTAAACTAAAGAAAGCCACTTATTATGTACTGCAAACTTAAAGTATTATTTCATCTCTTTCTGGGCTCCTTTGCAAATTATTAGTAGTATTTTGGATATTTGGAATAGCACTACTGGAAAAAGCCAGATAGCTGTTTCACTACTGCTATACAGAAAGAGGAACTCTCACCTCTCCTCTTACATATTATTTCCTACTCACCCATCCTCCTGGCTGTAGCACCACGAGGGAAGAATATGTTCAGACAATTTCCTACTGTAATCCTCATGTGTTTTTCCAAGGCATTGACTAACTAGAAACTATCCCTATCTTGTAAATATGATCTGGTGTCCTTCTTAATCTTAGTCCTCGTAATTGCATGAATCAAAACCTGTTAAAAATTTAGCACTTTTTTCTGATGAAGTTACTCAGTTTAGCTGCTATTGCTGACTTCATGCAGTCACAATGTGTCATTTATGTAACACAGTACCTGCAAATGTGAAGATATACTGTTTTTATAAATAATAACTTAGAAAAATCATAACCCAAACAGATTTGAGGGGGCCTGCATTAAAAGAGTCCCTTTTGATAACTTAGAAGAACAGATTTTTAATACAGCTAATATTAGCAAAGTTGATTAGAATGAGGGAGAAAGTTATGTTTTACATACACTTGTCATGACCTTTATTAAACAATTTTTTGCCTCAGTAAGAGGCAGGAAAAATGCCTGATAAAAAATTATCTTACATAAAATCTTATCAGTTAGCATTAATTACATTATTATTTTTTATATTACGATTATGCCCTGAGCTATTGTATCCCTATCTGTGTTTCACTTCTATTTAAAATCAGTAGTCTATAGTTCCTTATATAAACTCTTCCAAAATTAGGGCACAATGTTTCATAACCCAGTAATATTGGTGTCTTCACTACTACCACCTCTAAAAACATCCACGTGGCACCTTTCAGTTTGTGCAGTGTTATGTACAAATTACATGAATATGGCAGATGTCAAAAATACTCAGTGACCTTAGCATAACTTTCATGTTCTGTAGGAAGAGCTATAAAGTTACAGCAAAACATATTTAAAATAGAAAGACTGAAGAGCCTCTGCCTGACCACATATCCAGCTCTGAGCTATTTCATGCAAGCACACTTTCTGCCCATAGTTACTCTCATACAATCTTGTACATTTTTATGGGCTTTCCAACTCAAATTGCAGGTCCTCCTTCATCAAAGTGGTTGTTTACTCTCTCTCTTGTAATATCCACCCAGAAAAGGGTTTTCCACAGTACAAAGTTAGCAACATGGAACACGAAGCAAAGCCAATGTGAAGGTTATCCACTTCCCCATGGTGCAGGACTCTTCCTCCACCTCCAGTCCTATGCGCCTGCTGATCTCCCTTATCCCAGCACTACAGGCTGCCTGTCTGCATGCCAAGATGATTCAAGAAGTTAAGTTAGGAGAGAAATAGACCAGGGGGTGGGAGGTGGGTGTGTGGGTGTAGACAAGCAAATTCTTTGCCTGTTTAGCTCCCTGAATAGGCTCACTGTGAGGTTAGATGAGATCCAGTGCAAAGGAAGCGATGGGAAATACAGGTTTGGAGACAGAAGTGGACAAGAAGTCCTTTTTGGCAGCAGGTAAACTGATAATCTGAGAAACTGAACTTTTAAATTCTGCTCTGGGTAGCTTCAACACACCTCCTAAAGGTGTGAAAACACTTCCAAAAGGTGTTTCCTTAAAAGGAAAACTGCAGCTCAGAATCAGTACAATGCAGGCAGTAGAGAACAGAGAAATCATGGTGAAAAAAATTAAGCAAAAAAAGATATATTGACTATAAAATATAGAGTAACAAAACAGAATTCTACTGAATTCGGTTATCAGAATTCATCCAAAACACACATCATTCAGAGTTGTGCCTTTATAATATTGACTTTGCCTCTTCCACATAAGCTGCAGTGTAGATTTTCTCTGAGTCTGCTATTTCCTCCCTGCTGTGACCAGGACACACTTTGGCAGCAAAATTAAGCACAACTCAAATGCTGAGTTCGCCACTCAAGCAGTCTTTCCACAGACAATACCTGACTAATAAGTGAAGATGAGTCTGTGGGCCTCTTACCTTGATTCTGTTGTTTTTTGGACCAGACTGGAGAGAGGAGCCGTTACACTGAGCTCGTGCTCTTTGGGACTGAGAAGACCCCTTTGGCAGGGGGCAGCCACTGCCATTGGGAATCTTTCCAGACGGTGCTTTGGAATCACAGTCCTAAATTAGGAGAAACAAATTTGTCAATGTTTTTTTTTTTCAGGGATGAATAAGCATGAAACAGGATCAGAAATCCAACCTTCACCTTTAATCCTTTCATCCTTAAAATGTGACTCAGCAGCTTTGACACCCCAGTTTAACAACAACTGCCAGAAATGAGACAGATTCAAAGAGCATTGTGATATCTGCCCTGAAAGAGCTAAGACCTCCCAATTCTCAAGAGAAATAGAAAGAGGAGGAATTGGAGTCACAGTCCTTGGCATGAGTAAAGTTCCACTAGAAAGATAAAGGACTGAGCCTGTGCCTCCTGTTAGTAGCTGCTGCCCAGAGAAATAGAACTCCATCTCGGCAGGAGATGGGGAAAAGAGTCTTGCTCTCCCCAGTGCACCACAGCAACTAAGTCTACAGAATTATTCTATAGATCATCATCTTCCAAACAACAAGATACTTGTCTAGGATTTCAGCCTCTCTCTAAATGAGAAGATGAAGTTCCTTTTGGGCATTAAAGTCTCACATTGAGTCAAAGCTAACACCTAATTGCTCTTATGTAGTGCTTGACCTGCAGTTTCACCTCTCAAAAGTCATGGCACAGCAAGGACTGAACAGTCTAAAGGAGCTGCAACTAGGAGTTGTGCAGATGTCTGAAGACTAGGTGCTCTCCTCTGTCTTGGAATTAACCTTCTGCTACCTCATCTACATCTCCCCTTTGCAGCTGGGTGACTCCTTTGAATTTAGGATTACCTGGCCAGTTATAAATCCCTTTTACCACACAAAGTCACCCAAACAAACATCTGGTCCAGGACATAACTAAGAAGAAACATCTTCAAGAAGGCTGGCCTTTGTCCTGACTGAGGACCCAGAAAGAGAATGTCACAATGGGTCGGTGGAACATGCATCAGCAAGCTGTCACCCCTCAAAGCTTACTTGAGCAAAAGGCTGATTTGCAGAGTGCTCCAGCTCCCAACCCCCAGAGAATAGGAGCTCTCTTTTACACTTACCACATAAAGAACAAAACCAAACCAGAAGTGAGAAATCTCGGTTAAAACCACAAAACACAAGCCTGAAGATGAAACCTACTCCTACAGACCAGTGGCAAAAAAAGGGCAAAAAACAGCCAAAGGGAAATGACAAGGTACTCACAGCTACAGGATAATTTCCTGACACTGTCATATAGGGCCCATGAGGTATTTAGTACAGAGCTTCAAATATAAGAGTGCTCCCTCATCTCAGACTGCTAACTTACCACACCAGGATATTCCTCCTCTTTCTCTAGGAAGATCTTCTCTAGCACCAGGAAGGTCAGGAAACCAATGATCACCCAGAGACCCAGAAGCTTCTGCTGCTGAAAGCTCTGCCCTTTTCCTGAAGGACAAGAGAGAAATCTTCATGTGTCTATTAAATATATAGTTTTTCAAGCAGTTCCAAGACAAAAAAATAAACAACAGTGGAAAAACTCCCTGCAAGGTAGGAGGAGTAAACACATCTCAAAACAGATTAGTTTAACTTGCTCATTCTTGAGCTAACAGGTATCATCAACTCAAGACACTCAGAGTGAGAGCTACCATCCCTTTTTCCACATCAGCTCAACCCAGAATATTTCCTGGCAACACTCGGAATTTCCCTGAGCTCCAGAGGCAAGTGAATATGATATCAACAAAAATCCAGCAGTTCTACCTACTCAGCAGCAAGCCCTGACATGAAATCTGCCATTAGCGGAGTTACAAACTCACCTTCCCCTTTCTGCCACACCTCAGTAAGTTATCATGCCCAAAGCTATAAACTTTCTTTTCAATTACAGTCAAGCTTGTGAGATAACCCCTTCAGCCTCACTGCCAGAAATGGAAATTGCATTGCAATGGAAGAACAGAACAACTCTGTAACCGGACTCACATGGGTCAAGGAAACCTTTACACTCCAGGACAGTCTGGCAGAAGCAAACAAGCTTGAGCAAGAAAACAGAGTAATTTGGGAACCACTGTAGAAAGGGTGAAAAAAAGTACAGGAAGTTCTGCTGACAGTGCTAGAGCTGTGATGAAGAAGAGGACTAAAGGACCAGCAGATTTGAAACCCCAGGACATAGGTGCAAGAAAACCTGGGAAACCCAGGGCACCATCTTCCCTCTCTCACATTTTCAGCAGAAAAATGACTTCTTGGTTTCTCAACAGGTGGGATGCAGCAGCACTTGTCTTCTATGATATCAGTTTGCTGAAGCAGATAGATACAAACATTTTAAGTTTCAGCAACCCTGGCTATTTGAGGGATGAAGGAGTTACACTGATACCTAAAAAAAACCAGTGCTTAGTTTGCTGGCAAACACAAGTTTCTGACATTTCCTTTTTCTTCCCCTGCCCCACCCTCCAATCTTAACTGTGGCTCTATAGACAATGTTCCATGATTTCTCATGGAGCAAAAACTGCAATACATGAGCTCCCATGAATCGAAGCATCCAACAGAGGGGCCCCAGTTAGTACCAAGAAAGATGTTCTAGGAGTAACACTGTTATAAGGACAGATTTGTAAAAAAGGTGTACCTGATCCCCAAATAAGATCGTGAACATGTTCATATACCAGACCATATACACAAACCATAACCTCCCATCGGGTTAAAGAAGCATTCCCTTTCCTTACAGAAGGGACAAAGGAAAATAAACAGAGGTTTACAGGAGTCCAAGGCATGATAGAAAAAGCTGATAAACAAGAAAACCATTCCAAGTTACTAAACATAAAGAAACCATGGACAACTGAGGAAGCCTCTAATTTCAAAGTCTTTGGAGGATTGCTGAGTACAAAGATGAAATATTACATGTGTGGCTTTTTATTCTCACATCCTTCCCTAGGCATTTGCTTTTATATATTAATTGAAAAAGGATACCAGCCTAGATTAGTTTTTGGCCTGACCCAGACTGGCTGGTCTTAGGCTTTCAAGGTGCAACAGACTCAAAAGAGGCACAATACAAGCTGCTTCCAGGCACAGAAGGCTCTCATACCTGTTGTTGCACTGCATGTGTAGGCCCAGGCTTCAGGAAGCAGGTGAAGAAACACATTTCCCAGTAGTCCACCAATTGCAAAACTCAACAACTGCTTCAAACGGTGTGATCCAGCTAAAAAAAACCAAAAAACAAAAAAAAAACCCACAAAACTGAAGAAACAAGAAGAAAAAAACTGATCACTACTCAGCCTGGAACCAAAACAGCTCCAGCTGAGATTTTGCACAAAGAAACCCAAACATGAAGTATCTGCAAAGCAAGCTTTCAAAGGAGAGAGAACAAACCAAATGGAGTGCAAGAAGCCCTTACACCACTTGGCTGGGACAGTAGTATCTGGGAGGGTCCTGAACCAAGCAGGGAAAAAACCAGTGCTCTTTGTACAAGCTCCATCCAGGGCTTATATTTGTCAAAGGATTCCCTTTCAAATTCACAGGCATGAATTAAAGCACCAAAAACAGACTTTCTATTTCAGAGACATTTCTGTGACAAGGTCCTGTTCACCACTGTGCTGCTGTCATATCCCAGGACAGGTGGCTTCAGAAAGGCCAACGCAGTTGGCAGATTCACCTTCAGAGCGCAGCGCAGCTCCCGTCTCAAGGGGGATCACCAGCAAGGGGAAGACCCCACTCAGCCCCACCATGAAGGAACCGATGAGGGAACAGATCCAGGCATCCAGCCGCTCACTGCTGAACAGGTGTCCCCAGGACTCTGCCTCCTTGTCACACAGAGAACCAGAACTAGCAGCAACATGACTCCTCGGCAGCTGCTGAGCTTCACAGGCCACGATCAGAAACAAGGAGAGCGTCCCATCAAGCAGGAGTTTTTGTTTTGTCATTGCTAAGTGGTCTCAGCCGGGCTGGCCAATCTCTGAAAAGATAAGGGGAAAGAAGTCCTGAAAACATGTTCAACACTCTGTTCCACCATCCCAGAGGAACAACCATGGCCACACCAAGCCCTCCCTTCAGTGTCTTAGCACAGGTATGAATACCCATGAGGAACACCAGAAACTCTTCTTGATTTCAACACAGCACTAAAGGACAGAGAGGCTGTTCATCAGTGGGTGCATGAAACTGAGACATCTTGGGAAAGCATCGGGCTTTCACTATTTCCCTTCAGATGGGCTGGACAAGGACTCCAAGTACCCTTGTTCTTGCCCTTCAGTGTCCCAAGGCTTCAGCAAAAGGTATTGACCAGAGATGCTACCAGGTAAGCCTCCTCTTTGCCCTGTAACAAATTAGGATGCAAGACAGGCAACATAAGAGAGGTCTGTAAACTCACGAGTGGTGAAAAGATGGGGAACAGGGTAGACTATTCACCATCTCATCAGACACAAGTGCTGACGCCCATCCACATGGAGCCAGTGAGGGTCAGCTTCAAAACAAACAAATATGACCCTTCAGCAGCAGGCAACTTGTGTGATAGTGCTTCTCCAAAAATGATGAAAAATTTTACATGCACTTATCTAAAGACAGGACAAGTACTAGAAAGACAAATCTGACTGTTAATGGTTAAACAGCTCACATTAGACTCAGGAAACTCCCTGATATGACAGGAGTGGGAGAATGGAAGTGTACTTGAAAAATATCATATCTACTTGTCCTGTTTTTATCCTTTTGTAGAAGGATACTGGATTAGATGGTCTTTTAGTAAAAACCAGCACAGCTGTTTTAGCAAGAGCTCTGCAGTCACAAGAAAACTGGAGAAGAGGGCATGTTAGAAGAGAAAAATAAAGATAATTACAGTCATTGACAAAGAGGGAAAGAAAGCAAATGATGTAAAGGCTGAAGTACAAATTTTCCTTCAATCTCCAGAAGAAAAAGTGAAATGTGACAAGCAAAAATAATTTGGAAATGGGAGGAAAGGGTGGGTTAGAAAAAGATAGACCTAACAAATGCTCACAAAACAGCTCTTGAGAGGTAATAACAGCATTCACTTGAAAGCGTGTAAGAAATCAGTCTAATCTCTGAAGCATCAGTGACCATCTTTGAAAATTTACAGGAGTATGGGAAGGCCACAAGAAGGCTGGAGAAGCATCATGCCTCACCTACCTTTATAAAAGGAAAAAAAAGGGTGGGAGAAGTTACACACCAGTAACTTCAATCCTCTGAAGGACTCTTGATCAAATTAAATGATCAGTTGGTAGTTACCTATAAGATAAGAAATTGATAAAGATATCAAAGCTTTAAGTAACAGCCAGATAGAAAGGGACCTGCCATTCTCAAGACAAAATTCAGGATGTTGGAGCCAATCTAAGGCTGTGGATGAAAAGGGCAGTGTTGCCCCTTGCCCCCCCTTCTTCACAAAGCATCACCTCTCCATGCTTACACCAGACTCCACCAGTGAGCAGCATCAGAACAAACGAGCAGGAAAAACTGCTTTTTTAAACTCATGGCCCTTTGCCAGTTTCAGTCATGAACAAAAACAGTGCAGGGAGGAAGGCCAAGCTGCAGTCAAAAGCAATCAAAAAGAAATTAAGGGACAGGGTCCCATGGCCTCTCTGAAAGACAACACCAATCTCCAAGCACAGTGACCATGGACATCAGGAGCAGGGATGCAAGAAGGAATCAGTGAGACACTGGCTTGGCTAGCTGGGCAAGAACCACTAATGCTATCTCTTTTATCTTACAACAAAAAAACTAAAATCTCTCAACACAGCAAGTTCAAACCAGCTTAGGATTTTGGGGCATGTTATTGCAGTGTTTTGATCTGGCTGCAGGAACCCCACACCTACCTATGACTTACTATCAAATCAATCTCAGTAAGTATCAGTACAAAGCAATACACTAACGGCAGGGGAGGCAGGTGTGGAATCAAGTGGAAATAACAGAACAGTAATTCCAACATGCCACAAAGAAAAAGTACACACTGAATGAGAAATTAATTCCAAGCCAGCAGGCTTATGTTGCTTACAAAGAGGGTAAAAGTCATCCTGGGACATAGTCACACTGTGGGTCTCACACAGGTGAGTCTTCCTCATAAAACACATGCAAAAATCTGAGACACTGCTGTGGGAAGAAACAAAACTAGAGTACAGAGAGCATGACCTGGAAAAATGACCAAAGGACCTGGGTGTGTTTAGTCTTAAAAAGATAACACCAAAGGAACAGAACAGCCTGCATACATTAAGAGTCACAAGAAAGGGAGAAAGTACTCAACAATTCTTCCACATCAGTTCAAATGGTAAACAAGATATAGAAGATATAGCCTGAATATGAAGAAACAAATATATATATGGTGCCAAAGTGGGGATATACTAAAATAGGTTATCTAGGATGCAGAATATCCAGCACTATTTTTTGTTGGAGTTTATTTGGTTTGGCTTTATTTTTTTTTTTTTTTAGTTTTTTTTTTAGTTTTGAGAAAAAGAAACAACTCATACAGATACAATTTCATTGCAAAGATAAGATCCCTTCTTTGAAGTCCTTCAGGCCTAAACCCCTTCCAACCCTGGAGTGGGCCTGATGGATGTCTTTGTCCTTTATGATAGGATTAGATCTATAAAATGACTGAGAACTTTGTGAGGAACACACCAAAATAAATCAGAATTTATGCAATTATACATGCCTATGAAGAAGCAACACACACATACAGCTCAACATCGATGGGAAGCAGCACAAATCTCTGTAACATTGTCACAGCTTTTGAGAATCAATCTGGAAAAGTAAACACTGCAATTGATTCAACAGGTCGATTTCTTGCATTTCATTCTCCACACTCAAAACCCACAAAAGCCCCAAGAGACACCTGAAAGGGTCTCAGAGACTGAGACGCAGTAACACACAAGATAAAGGTCATGTCCAGGACTCTGAAAAAGGTTTGCATACTTGATTCATGTCACTCTTCCAGCCACAAAAGGGATCAGGTTCCTCAAAAAGGGGATGGTGGTGGAAAACAAATGGGTATAAAGTGTAGAAAACTGATTCCCCTAACTCACATTAGTGGTGGTCAACTTTCTGTGGTCCACAGGTTACTCACATGAGGAAAAAGCAGCACATTTCTTTCCTCCTGTGCAGCCAGACCATCATTACATCATGCTTCAGGAACAACTCCGTATCTCATGCAATAAATTCCTCATGTTTATAAAACATCTATTAGAAATTCAGTGTATTGTCCAGGACATACCTGAACTGCTCTTTGTGTCCAGCTAATTGCTTAGAGCATATTCCCAGCATTTCCTTATTCCCAACACATCATAACCACTTGCTCAAAAAAAACCCAAAAAAACCCCAAAGCAGCTTTTTATCTCTACAGTCCCTTTGCTTCTCCATCTCATTACAATATTAGCAGTCTCTAAATTCAAACATTTAAACTGGTTACCCCAGTGGAAAATATTTAAGAGGAAGAAAATAAGCAGGGAAGATGTAGTCACAGGAAAAAAACTGCTCAAGAGGAAAATAATACCCTGTCAAAACAATTGCAAAGGGTGAAGGAAGTCTATATCTACCCTTCATTTTAGACAACAGCATCTGTTTTAGGAACCCAGACAGAGAATGTCTTGAGAAATTTCTAGAGAAAGCACTACAGGCTCTCAGAGACATCTCTGGTCACAAGGCAGAGGCATAAGCAGGTTTAGAGATGTGTTTTCTCAAGTAGGGTTTATCAGATCCTTAAAAGCATGCAACTCTGGGAGAAAAATGCCAGCAGGTCATTTAGTTATCAATTTTGACAATTCTCCATCTGGGATCACAGCTCCCAGATGTGCTTGATTCACCACTGGCAGCACTCTCAGAGCACCACGTGTCCGTGCACTCAGGACTCAGGTCTGCTCAGCTCCTCCTGCAATGGCCTCAGGACTGGAATAACCATTAGGTTTTGCTAGCTCAGAAAAAACAAATAAATGAGAATTTGCCATTTACATGCTCCTGAGCAGGGGCAGAGGAAGCTGCACACCAAGCCAGGAGATCCATGAGGCTCCCAGGGCCTCCCCTACCCCACAGTGCTCACTGAATACCTCTGTATCAGGCAGTGACTGAGGAAACATGGACAAAATTAAAATGCCAAGGCAAAAACCTACTGGAAAAGAGCAAATGAAACACTGACATGATGACCGTGCCTTTATCTATTACGCTCTTCCTAGACATTCTGCCTTAGACCACACAATTTCTTCTCTCGATGAAATTGCTCATTGCCACATAATAATATTTCAGATGCTGTTGAAAGGAAAAAAAATTAAAAGAAGAGGCTTTTTTTACCAGTGTTTTCCCTGGAAGCCAGTTGCCTGGTCTTACAATTGCAAAAGAGTACTGCATGGAATGGAAAAAAGTTATTTTCCAGGGAGGAAGCATAATTTTCAGCCAAAAAAACTCTGCATGAGCCACCTCCCTCTATTAGCCCTGTGGAGAGTTTTGAATTCCTCCTGGAAACTCTGACCTCGGCAGAAGCACAAAAGGTCTCCAGTACTCCCTGAGTACTCTGAATCACTGCCCATCTCTAAGGAATGCACTGCTCTGGTGGGACCCTTCCCTTCTGCCCCATCCCTCTCATAAAACCCACTCTGCACAGACTCGCATTTCTGCACATGACAGCGTGCTCAGCTAAACGCTGGTGATGCGCAGGACTGCAAACAATGGGTCGCCGGTCAGAACAGATTACAGACCCGGGGCGAACCTACGAGCTGGCAAGTACGGCACTTGAAACCGACTGACCACTACCGGAGTTTGGGAGACTGCGACTCGTTCCCCATTCTGCATCCTTTCATCCCTGAGATGAGAGGGAAGTTTGAGGACCAGGCAATGGCCTTCATTCCCCCAGGCTAGCTGGGACGTCTCTCCTCCCAGCCTATATCCGTGGCAGCCCGAAGCACAGGCCGGGCAGACCGCCCCGCTCCCGCTGCCCTCGCCCAGCCCGGGCCGGGCCCCGGCCCCGCTCTCACGGCAGGCGATTGACGCGGCGGGTCTGTCACATCGCGGCGGATGGGACGGACAGCGCGGGTTTTCCATTGGAGGAACGCTGAGCGAAGCAAAGCGAGACCTGTTTGCCGCGGGGCGAATTAGTAATGGGCGCTGCTCACGCACCTTTCTGGGGCAGCACACTACTTGCCGCCGGGGTCCCCGTGCCACTGTGGCCGCGCAGTCCGCCCCAGCGCTCCGCGCGTCCCGCGGGGCTGCCCCGCGCCGAGCCCTTCTCGCGGCAGCGTGTGCCGGAGGAGGGACCTCCAAAACTTTCTCGGCTGCGTGCCGCGGGGACTGCGCTCGCAGCCCGGACGCGCCCGCCCGCCCGGCGCCGCTCCCCCGGCGAGCAGCGGCAAAGGCGGGCTGCGAGGGGGGACGCGGCGCCGGGAGCCCAGGGGCAGCCCACGGTGCCGCCGGGCCGGGGCACGGCCGCCGGCAGCAGCGGCCCCGCCAGGCGCTCCCCGCCACGTCTTTCCCAAAGTTGTCCCTCGCTCGGCCGGGCCGGACCCCTCCGGAGCCGGAGGCGGCTGCGCTGCGTGCGGCGCTGCCCGGCCCCGCTCACCCCGTCCCGCCGCCCGCGGCTGAGCCGCGCCGCCGCTCCCGGGCCCGCCGTCCCCCCTCGCACCGCGGCAGCGGCCGTGCCCCGGCCACCCCCGCCCCGGGCCGCCGGCCGCAGTTACCGTGCGCCACCGCCGCCGCGCCCCGGGCCGCCGCTGCCATCCAGCCGCGGCTCGGCGCGGGCCTGCCCCGCCCGGCGGCCCCTCGGCTCCGCCTCCCCCGGCCGGCCACGTCGGTCCCGGCCTCCTCGGCCCCAGCGCCGCCGCCCCGCCGGGCACCCGCCGCCGCCGCGCTGCGCTTCCGGCCCCCGCCGCCGTGTCCGGCCGGGCGGGAGCCGGGCTGCCCGCGGGCACGGCCCCGCGCAGGAACGGGGCCCTGCGAAGCGGCCCCTCGCGGCTCCAAGGCGGCGCGGTGTTCGTGCACGTCCCCTAGGCGGGCTGCGGGGACACGCGTGCTGTGCGAGACCCGGACTTCTGGAACATGCTTCCTGACTTTTTTTTTTAAATTTATTTTTTAATCTCCCTAAACGGATTATAAATTCTTTGGGCTACAGATGTGTAGAGACAAGCACAGTGTGAAACCGGGGTTTGAGCAGGATTTCTGGAAGTTGTTAGAGCAGAAGAAAGTGTGGCTGAGGACTGAGCCTAGAAATGCTTTTGGAAGATACAATGACTTTTGAACAGATTTGCTTCCTCCTCACGGGTTCATTGCAATCTTCACGATAACTTCTGAACCACTAGAACTCCTTAAGCACTGGTGTCCTGTTAGTAGTGAAGGTTATCCACGGTTCTTGCAGAGATTTGCAGAAACTGCATGTGCTTAGGAAACTAGGTCAGAAGAGAATAAAGATTTACCTTTATACAAGCCAAGCTAAGCTGGACCTGTATTGTTTCCAATACAGACACTTTCCAAAATGTACTGAGGTACCTTTAAGTTCCATCTCTTGCTATTTTCCCTGAGACACAGAACTTGATTCTCATTCCAGATTTCGGAATGAATCCTATTTCCCAAGAAGGCAGTGCTGATGTTGGTGCTTCTCGCTACGGTTTCACCCGATCTCATTACATCATACCAATGTCATGCCCTGGAGCAGGAGTTAGGAATTACGCTAGCCACAGTCGCCTGACTGTGTCGGTTTAGCTGCTCTTTCTGCATTTGTGTAACAGCAGCACAGTCCTCCAGGCTACTGCGTTGCAAATGCACTTAAAGATTTAAGTTGTATGTTTCTTGCTTACAAGCAGAACGTTTATATAGGAAGCTAAACTGAAAGCAAATTTTAAGACAAAGTATTTTGCATTTTGCTCTCAAATTGTATGATTTATAGTTTCTGTGTGCCACAGCTGCCTTCCTACTGCTATCCTCAGCCTTCCTGAGCCTTGCTCCAGTGACACAGTTCCCTGTGCTGATGGATCATAGCTGTGATTACCACAGTTACAGCAGGCAACCCCTCAGGTAAACCAAACCACACCAAGAATTTCAACTATTGCAAGCAGTAGGGGTGCCACGGTCTCAGTGAAATGACTGGGAGTTGACTTTTGACTAGAATGATGCAGGAATTCACTGCAAGGCTCTCTGTTTTTATGACATTCTGCTGTAATTCAACACAGGAAGTATTCTGGATTAAATGTTCGCTCTGTACCTCATGTCATCAGTTGTCAGCTGCTGTGCATCAAATTGAGCTTTTACACCATTGGTGGTTGTGCAGTGAAATTTCCAGCAATAGTCTAGATATCCATACAAAAAAATCAGGGATCTGGGACCTTCACCTGACTCCTCCAAGCCACAGAATCACTTCAGTATAATTTATCTTTTAAGTTTCTGTATTCTCTACTGAATTATTTCTCCAGCTGAGGGTAAAAAAAAAAACAGATCACTTTTAAAGGTAGACTAGTAAAACAGTCACTATATATTCAGTTCTCTTTGACTTGTAACTGATACTCTTGCCTCCCTAATGTCCTTACCTGAGTGTCTCCAATGCTTACCCTTATTTACAACATTTGTAGTCTTCTTGTATCATTCTTATAGGAGCAGGACAATGATGGAACTGAGGAAGGTTTCCAGAAGAGAGTTAAAAACAAAAAAACCAAGCCCATTATAGTTCAGTGGCACCATGAAGGCAGAGCCATGGCGTACACCTCATGCACAGCCCCCAAAGGCTGGTGTGCTGTGCATCCACAAAAGGCCAGAGACAGGAGTAGAGCGTGGTACATACATTGGTTACTGCAAATTAAGTCACTCAGAAGTATTGGTCAATTCATGACAAATGCTACATACATTATTATTATTATTATTAGTATTAGTATTAGTATTAGTATTAGTATTATCATTATTACCTTTTAAAACCCTACTTTAATTGATAAAGGAGTATATTAACAGCTGGATAACCCATATTAAAAATCCGTTTACAGTATTTCGGCTAAAAAACCCCAAGATTTAAAAATACAGAAGGCGGCGCAGAGAATCAGTTTTCCTCCGTGTCCCGGCGGTTCCCGGGGGCGCTGCCTGCAGCCGCAGGCCCGGGAGCTGCAGTGGCGCGGGCGCCCCGCGCGGCGGCGCTGCCCGCCCGCCCAACGGCGCCGCCGGGAGCCGCGGGCCGGGCGCGGAGCGTCCTCGGGGAGCGCGGGGAATGCCGCCCGCGGGGACCGGTGTGGGTGCGAGCCCGTCCGTCGGACGCGGGCAGCCGCAGCTGTGTGAGGCACCGGAACGCCGCGGGGAGCTCAGGGCACCTGGCCGGCACCGCGGTTGGCAGCTGGGCCCGGAGCGGCCCCTGCGGTGCCCGGCGTGGGGAGCGAGGCGGTGCCGCTGGTGGCCTGTCCCCACGACACGAACAAGCCGAGCTCAGGGATGGTGTCACCTTCCCCCGGGCACTCCGGCGCCATGGGAGGCTTTTCTGTAGCCGGGCACAGCCTCGAGTGTCTCAGAAAAGCTGGCAAGCTTCTGCTCTGGCTGAAGGACGGGGGCCCTGCAGAGGAGCCTGGCTCCCTGGCCACCGCAGGGGAACGGTCTTACCTAGAAAAACGTTTTGACAGCTGAATTTCCACCAGAAAACTTGCTAATAAAGGGGTCAGAGTGGCTTAGTACGTTCATACTTCCTTGCACCTAATAGTGCTCTCTGTACTGTCCCCAGGACCGCCTAAAACATAGTTTCTCTTGTGGTACGGTAAGAAGCTCACTTTTGTAAAAGGGTGGGGCATGAGCGCTGCCCTGAACTGCGCTTGCTGCAGAGAAAAGGGACCGGAGCCCCAGCAAAATCTATGGAGACATCACGTCAAAACATCTCTGGAAAGCCTGCATGTGGAGGACTTGATGTGAAGCACTGACAGCACAGGCAAGCTGAGAAACGGGCAGACCATGAATGTGGACAGGGCAGAATGATTTTTAAATTTCCCAATAAAGGTGGTCAGACACTGGAAGAGATTTCCAAGGTTTTTGTGGTAGCTCTTGGAGATTTTCAGCCAGTTCAGCTGGCCCTGACCTTGAGCAACTTGATCTGCTTGTGAAGCTTTGAGCAGGAGACTGGCTAAAATGACCTTCTAGAGGTCCATGTCAACTTAATGTTTTCTATGATGCCCTCATTCAGGAAAAAAAACAGTATCAGGGGGCAAGTGAATCAGGGGGAACCCTCAAAGTATGTGAAAGGAGCTGTGAGGCCCCAGCAGAAGCATTTTTGCCCACTGTTTGGTAGGGCCAAAGGCAGTAACCCTGTTGCTTGGAAGTCCAGCTCTGACTCATCCCAGGAGACATTTCTGCAAGGCAAGGCAGAAAAGGAGAAGTGACTGCTGAGCCCTGAAGAGGGGTGGGGAGGGGAGCTGGCCCATGGAAGCTCAGAACAGGGAATTTTAGTCTTACTCATCATATTATTTTTGTATTTGGGTTTTCAGATGTAAAGCTCAGTATTTCTGTGAGCAGATTAACTCTGTGTGCACCTCAAGTTTGTCCACTAGCCCCATTGACTCCTTTTATGCCTGATTCCATGCACAGACACACAGCTTCCAGCTGGGAGCTTTGCACTAGCACTTTACTAGTGTTTGTAAGGAATAATTGAACTGCCTGGTCAGTCCTGTTTAATCTGGGCAGAATTCAGTGTCACTCTGGAGGAAGAAGAAAAATGATGGGCCTGGTCTGGGAAGAAGAAAGCCAGAGAGCGGATTAGGGTAGATGACTGCAATGTGGCAGATGGGAAAAATGTGGCAGATGAACAATAGGCAATTTACAAAAGTTAGAATGGAGATTCGTGCTGATTTACCTCACCTTAACAAGTGTAAGCAAGAAATGGAAGGGAAATCTATGCAATCATGGAAAACAGTGCTGGAAGGTCTAGCAGAATCTAAACCTCTAGCAGAAGACCAGAATGTGTTTGTTCCTCACTAGAGTTTCAGACTTAAATAGTGAGGTCACAATGCTACCCTACCAAGCATGTTATGTGTTGTGTGTTTGATACACAATTGTCTTTGTCTTAGATCTAAATGTAGTTAATGCTGGGTTCTGACCATGAAAGAAGGGTTTCCTTATGTTTTTCAGTGCTCAGTAATGAAAAACCTCATTTCTATAACCTAGCACAGCTTCATGTCTCCAGGGTAGAGACCCAGCTCTGGTTCCTGCCTTTCAGCTGGCAGAGGACAGGCTGCAGTTCTGTATGCACGTTTCAGTATCAGTGCTGCAGGCATGCACATACTTCATAACCAACATTCACTCTTCCAGGCTCTGCAAAGCTTGTGACCCACATCCCTCGCTAGTGAGGGCCATATTCTGAATGCTGGTGCCAAGATTCACACTCTCAGCCACTGCAAGTAGTGAGGCCTGTGCTGTCACTCACCTTGGTTACTGTAGGCTTCACACTGTACAGAGCTACTGACTGTAACTGGAGGAGCCATCACTGGCAGAGCTGTAAGAGTAGTGGTTGTAAGGCGTGGTGTGAAGAGAAGGTTTAAATATCAGGCCTCTGTAATGAAGGGGCTGGTCATAATTACGGACCTCCAAAGCTACTACTGTGGTTCAGAACAATGCCTACCCCAAGCCAAAAGAGACAGAATTAAATTTCCCAGCTTCTGAAATTCAGGAGGATCCATTATTAGCATTGACCACTCAAATTTTCAGTGCAGTTGTTGCAGTCTAGTCCAGTTTTCTTCTAATGAGGAAGTCACAAGAGTGTAGAGGTCAGGGCTTTACAGTCTCCATCCAGACTCTTGA